CTAAGTATATGGAAAAAGTATTACGAATAATTTTTATGAATTTTTCACGTTTTCTCCAAATAGATATATTTTTTCGGCAAAAAAGCGATTTATTTCTCAACACAGACTTCTTTCAGCTTAATACATTTAGTCCACCATTTTTCCAATTATTTTCGTTTGAATTGAAGCATGTGCTTTTGAAAAAAATTAAAGCTACTAACGATGAAAATTGATAGAAAAATAAACAAGCTGTGAATGGTCAAATGAAAATGTGCAATAATATGAGCAGGAAATAATTTTGCTCATATTTTGCCATATCGTAAATGGCCCTACTACATAGTCCGTAGTACTACATGGCGTATGAGTGACATTTTGGTTAACGTTTGAATTTTTCTCATTCGCAATGCAAACTTAAACTGAAAATATCTTGGGAACTTTACCTGATCACTGTCTTTTTTTGTCATTTTAGCGGCCCTACTGTGTAATAGGTTTTTTGAAAATAAGCGTTTGTTTCAGTGACGCTTCAGGTTCAGAAACAAGAAATTTTTAGTTGGAAAAATATGTTGGCAGGGGTAACAGTTCGTAGCACAATTTATGAATCACACACGAATCAGTATATTTATGTACATACTCACGAAACTATGGGTCCAATGTAGTGAAATTATGTTTTTTGTTTTTCTTTCTGACAGCATACATTTTCTAAAAGGACTTTGAAATTTCAAAAATATGATTCCATAATAAATAAATTATTTAAAAAAATGCAGTACAATGTAGAGCAATAATAAGGGATATAGCCGTGGAATAATCGTTCTTATCTTAAATTTTTTTCAAAAATACATATAGCAAATTTTTAAGGATAATAATATGTCCCTATGCATGAAAAAATTTCATCCTTCTCTAACTCTACAGAAACTTATTTTTATTTGATACCCATATTGTTATTCTATTCAATTTTTGAGATAATTTTTTGAATTATATAATCATGAATTTGAAATAGCGAAGTCATTTTAAAAAAATCCTGACACCCAGAGAGACAAACTGAAAACGCAGTTTTACTATTTTTAGCCCCTAGTTTCAAGACGATCTTGACTTTTTTGAGTGTAAAATTTACTGTCGCACGGTCCTGCAGGCCTGTGTTGAAAATCATACGATTTGAGAACGGTGTGATTTGCAAAATATTTTTTAATATTTGTAATGAAACAAAAAAAAAAATATTTCAAATGGCACTACTAAAAAGCACATAACTTACGTCATATCCATCGATTGCAAAACATACGATTTGTGGAACATACCCTAGTATTCATACGTATTTAAAAAAACAAAAAAATACTTTTAAGCTTTACGCTATTCCACATTTATAATTTTCTCTTGTATTTCATATTCTTTTTCTTCTTGAAATGCAGCGTCCCCAAAGGACTCGAAGACGTATCAAAATATCCACACCTCTTTGCAGCCTTACTTGAGTCTGATAAATGGACTGAGGCGGATATAGCGAAAGTGGCGGGGAGGAATCTGATACGTGTATTCAAAGAAGTCGAAGCGGTAAGTAAACAGATGAAGGATGCAAAAACTGAAATAAGCCCACCCGTGCCGACCGTGCAATGCAATCGAACGGCTAATTAATTGAAATATGTATGAATATTTACACTCGATGCGAGTACGAAAGAGAAAAATAATTAACAAAAAACAAGAAAAAAAAGCAAAGAAAATGCAAAGCATCATTAATCAACAACGACTTAATAATTAAAAATATATGCACCCAAATAATTGCAGCTGATAAATACTGTGTGTAGTACTTCGTTAATTGTGAAATACAATCAAAAGCCAAAAAAAAACATAAACAGAAACACAGAAAGAAATAAAAAACTAAAATTAGTAGTGCAGTAAAAGTTATCTCAAAAAATTGTAGAGTTTATAAAAGAAAAAACAGAAACAAAAAATTCGAAAAAACAGAAAAGAAGAAGCAGCAGCGCATTGAGAAGAAGTAGAATGCATAATTGGTTGAAGAAACAGCAGGCAAGGAAGCAAGCAAGCAAGCAAGCAAGAAGTCATTTAATCCGCCTGAGAATGGACGAGTTTTACTCTGTTGAGCATATTTCCTTTTTCGCCAGCAAATTGCACTTTTACCTTGCAATGTTTTTTTTTATCAAGTATGCAAACAGGAAGAAATGTAGAGTAAAAGATCATGAAAAAAAGCATAAAGTGAACGAAACGAAACGAAATGAAAGCTGAGATAAAATTTTTTGTTTATAAATATTTTTTTTCTTTACTTCGGCGTTGTTTTTACTAGGTACATTTACTTCTTTGCTGCCAAGTTTTTTTTTGTTCATCAATTACAATTTGTAGAAGAAAGAAATGCGAGTACTTCTGCGCGTGTATGTGTGTGTAACTAAGATGTAATGTGGAAGGACATAGAAAATTGCATTCAGGAGCGGTATATGTAACCGCATATATGTATAATATACATATATATACAGAAACATTTACATATGTATGCACATTAGGCATATGGCTTTTTGTTTTTTAATTAAATAGGTATACCTATGAGGAGAGAATGAGGAATTGTGAAAAAACCACAAAAATTACGTTTTTGTCTAACTTTCAGCGTTCAAAAATTGGTTTCTAACATTTTTTTTTTCACTCAGATGACTTGGAAATTTCCATCTACATATATGTGCAAATCTCACGAGTTGTGGTTTATTTAGTGTCACTCCCTTCTGTTGCCAGCAAAAAAAAAACCCTAAAGCATGCTTCTTGCATACATTTCAATCAATTGAGTTCCAGAAACAAGCACAATAAAAAAATAAATCAAATATTGGAACAATTTTAGACTTAACATGTTTATTTAGGCAAAAAAGTACCGAAATTACTCATTTATTTATTGTTACTCCTAAAACGTACTTTTTTAATGTAATTTTGGGACATTGGCATCAAATACTACATATCTGTGTAGTTTCAAGAGTATGCCACCAAATATTTGGAAATTTTTGGGTTTTTTTATATTTATTAATTTAAGATACATCAAAATGTTGAAATTAAACGTTGAAAATGTTGTTCTTGCCAAAACGAATGAACCTAGTGTAATAAAACAGTGTGCCACCAAACGAAAAAAATTAAATTGAGGAAAAGTTGACTATGATTTGAGAAAATAAAATTCCATTTTTACAATTTTTATTGGTACTCTAGAATTTCATTCCAAAATTGTTGTATACATGAAGAAAGTGATATATTTATATTAAGGTCCCATCGATTTTTTTGTTTGTTTAATTTAAAGACCTACCTCCTAATTTCCTTCCTTTTTATGAAAAATATTATTGCCTATTTTTATAGATTTTTTAAAAATCATTTAGAAGTCGCCACTTGTCATTTTAGGCAAGAAAATGCGGTTTTGCAGATTTATCAATTTTTTAATGACTATTTTTCATTAAATTTTAGAGATTCTAATGTNAGCGAGTAAGCGTGCCTTATATACGCAACATACCTTATATACGCAACTGCGGGTATATGAGGTTGAGTGGTTAAATATTTTTACTTTTTTTATTATATCCTTTTAAAGTTTTCATTTAAATAAAATTTGGCAATGGAATCCTGTTATTTATACAAAACTGCACCTACCGCATTTTCTAAGATAAGTGTGCCACCATTTTCGACCGAAAACACGTTTTTGTCGAGACATGTAGCAACTCCGCAACAGCATACAACAACATTAGGGTGCGTGACGAAAAAATGAGGGGTTTCCATCGCAATCATGAAATCTACATATTATATTGTTGCCTCCAGAAATAGCGTTATTTTGATGCCATTGGTAAAATTTTTAAGCATTTTTATGCAGACCTTCGAAACTTAAAATTGACTATCCTCTGAGCGGATTTTTTAGAAAAAATACTTTTAAAAACTACGTTTATTAAAAAAAAATCAATTTTTAAAGATATTTGCAAATATGTATATTGGCGGAAGTTTTAAACTGTAATAATAATAATGATAAAAATATACATAGATATTTTAGAAACCAATTTTTTCGCCATTTTTGCTTAGAATTAATCGTAGAATTTGAATTCGTTATACACTTTCTTCGAAATTTTTACTTCGAATAAATTACTCCGCCCTAATTTACATATACACTTGTGGCCAGCTGATTAAGTTAAGTGACATCTTGAATGGGTTTGGCAAATTTTTCTTTTGCTTAACCAGTACTCTGTTAATCAACATTTCAAACTTTGTACAAAAATTATAAAAAATCAGCTAACTTAACCAATTACTCCCTAAAATTGCAAACTTTTTATGCTAAGTTTAAAATTTTTTATTTATGCGAGAACTTTTTGTACTAAATTTTGACAATTAACATTAATTTTATTGGTTTTTAATCATTTCTTCTGCTCTCCGAATAGGTACATATATTTAATTAAAAAAAAGTCATATGCTTATTGTACATTAGACCGTACCTGAAAAAAAGTTCGCCGTACACTCAATTATTTTTGCTAGGCAATTTTTGAAAAAAAAAAA